TATACACACACACATACACACACATACACACACACACACAAATACACACACACAGGCACATACATACATAGTTAACATAATAATGCAACTAAAAATTCCAAGTATTTCCTTATGGCAAGCAATTGTTGTTCCAGAAAGTATGAAAACAGTATATATTGTGTATATTCTGCTTGATTTGAAGTCGGAAAAAATACTTACTTTCTACCCATACATCCTTCCATACTTTCAAAGCAAAGTTATAATATAACATGTATCGGAGCCTCCGACTTTGTGTACGGAGAAAATCACAAAATGCACTGCCATACTTTACGTAAAATCTTTACATGAAATGAACTTTCACGCTATACACATAACAAAAAACGTGCTGTCATACTTTACACATAATGCAGGAAACATAACATGAGTTTACAAACAATTATTGTGGTTTTTATCGTTCATTGGAAGCAGTTTCAGAACGTGCGGGTGTGCAATATCGGTGGGTCGTGTCAAATTCGATAACCATTCACCATCGAAATTCAAACAAATCTACTGATAGTGTAGTGTGCAGGTATTGCAGTGTTGAATGATAAGATTGATAAAAACATCTCGGCATGACACAATCTCCTCGTCCGCGAGGGGGCTGCCCAGTTTGTCACTGGCCCAGTTTGTCACAGGCCCAGTTTGTCATAATTACAGCTCTTTAACAATGTAGTTGCAACTTAAGTTTTTTTTTCCTCCACCTTCAAATTGTTGGTGTAGAGATAGTCCCTCTAAAAGGTCAATTCAGCTTGTGTTGTTCAATATTTCTTCTTTTTTGTCGGCAAATCAAAGCAAATTACTCTGTAAAATGTCAACAATGGATGTTCTTTCGTTAAAAACAAACTGAAAAATAAAATAAAATTCAAGCAATCAATCAATCACGAATTTACTCTTTTTGAGAGTGTCGGTGATAACTTCCATCATGCAGGGCACAGTCGAGGCGGGGTGGGCCTCTGACAAACTGGTTCTGTGACAAACTGGGCCAGTGACAAACTGGTATGCTTTCGTCCTCGACACCTCTTGACGCACTGACATAAACAATGGCATGCTGCAATGTGTGCCACCAAACAGACATTCAGTTTATATATCTACTTGAAGCATTGGTACACACTTCCACACTTTCTTGCACAACACAGACATACACGCATTGCCGAGAACACACAGGTGTATCAAACTCAAGGCTCGCGGGGTACATCCAGCTCGGCCAATAATTATATAAGTCCCTCGAGAGAATTCTGGGTAGTCCAGACTGAGAATCTCTATAATACAGAATCTTACTCCTAACATAAACGAACTCCTTGCCAAAAACAGGTACCAAACATCCGGCCCTGATAAACTGACCTAAGAGCAAACATTGCTATGCCTTGATTTGTTATCATTTTAAATTCACATCACTGTACTTAAAAGAAAAAAAAGTAGTTTTCCACTGCTCAATGTTTGTGAGTGTTTATCCAGTTCGGCCACTACACATATATGAGACTGTGGACCATCACTTGCTCCACTGCACAGCCCTAAATGACATCAGAGCTACCCTTCTCCCTCCGAGACCTAACATTGACAAGACAAGATACGATAAGATAAGATAAGATAAGATAGTACTCTATTATCCCAGAGGGAAATTTTCCTTGACAACACACTCTATGGAACATTGCTGCAACTGCATTGGACAGAAAGGCGAGAGCCCAACTGTTGCTGGATCGATAACAACAACAACAACATCCAGTTCGGCCTGCAATCGTAAGTGTTATTCAATTTATTGAATGTAACCCCCTGAGCGATTGAGTTTAACACGCCTGGCCCAGGACAAACCAGACCCACACTGCCCTGCGCACACGGTAGACACGCCCATGCAGCACGGGGAAGGCGTGTTGTGTCGCCAGGAACTCAGGAACCATAACAATAACGTAGCACTGTCCTGCTCAACACAGTAGAGTGGGTGCTGAAAGCAAGCTCTACAGCAAAACAATTTTTTTGAAACCCCCACAAAAAACCCATAAAAACACTCCTTCCCCCCAAACCCCACCCCCAAAACAACAAAAAACAAAGTGACTTTAGTTCCTGACAATGTTTGGGAAAATCCGGGTTTGGGGGAAAAAAAAAAGGGGGGGGGGGGGCAGTTGAGCCCCTTCCCAAAATTTGAATTTCGTTATTGTCAAAAATTTATCCTTTTCTATATCATTAATTGCATGAATAGAACTTTAGTTGCTGGACAATGAAATATAGCATCATAAAAGTGCTTCAAAATTCCGTTGTGAGAGCAGTGTTTTCTTAAGGTTATATGCCTCAGCAGTTTATGACGAGCCTCTCTTGCCCCGAGCACGGGTCAAATTTTCAGTTAAAATTGTTCCTCATGGGATGACGTAACATTTATTTCCTAGACCTTTTCAAAAACATTAACTCACCGATGAACTGAATCAGCAGGTCAATATTGCATCAGGTCTACATGTAAAAACAGATTTATTTACATATTTAATGGTAAATCTACGAAAGAAACATGAGCGTATATGCAAGAAGTATCATGTGTACAGAATATATCAACATAATGGAGGAAAATATTCCACGACCATGCGGTGACTCGGTCACTGAGTCCAAGATTGTCGTATGTCTAATTTTGCATGTTTTACCATAACAACATCACCTTAAAAATGATGAAAACCAACAAAACAATTACCCCCCACCCCCACCCCCCTCCTTCTACCTCGCACATGCACGCACGCACTCATACACTCCCCCTATAGTCCTGACGCTACTCACTCCTTTGCTCGTTCTTGCATTCTGCTATGGGCACATTTAATTTTTATATTATACTCGCTTGAGTCAAATATTCCAAACTGATGCAAAACTCGACTTACGACAATCTTGCGCAAACCTTTTGGTCGAACCATGAATTGTGTAAAAAAAAGTGAAAAACCTTTAGAGGTAAAAATAGAAATATAGTTTGGTACAAATATGGACCTTGCATAGTTGTCATGGGTGCGTGATGCGGCGTTGTCATACGGGCACTTTTGAATGTCGTGAAATTTGAACTTGTGTATAGTTCAGAGGTAAAATTGCCTTTATAATGAAAATGACAAAAACCGGCATTTCAGATTCGTTGTTATTCCAACATTTCTATTCTTCATCAAATAGGAAAAAAAATGTCTCCAGGAATATTGATCGTTTCCCAGCTTAGAACTCATCAACAGAAGTAAAAAAGAAGACAGAGAACTTTCTAATCTGAACTAGACAATTATCTTACGCACACTTCTCCACAAACCAAAACTTTTGGGCCTATTAGTTAAAAAGATGGAGAGTGATATATAGTATGAGTCTGACCTCCCTTCGACCACTGAGGGGTCATTGAAGATTTGGGAACAACCCATAATTTTACGTCTGTCTCCAATAAGACTAATACCAAGCACGTGGAGAACCTCGAAACATTCACTTAACAAACTGTGTTCAAGACCTCCCGCCTTGATGACAACTGAATCATCGGCATAGGCCTATCCCACAAGGACCACGATACGTTTCAAGAAGAGAAAAAAAAGAAGAAAAGAAATCTTGAACAATGGCCCAACAGTACTCCAAAATGCTTAAATCTGTCCAGTAATAGCTCTTGTTCTGTCTTTGGGTATCCAAGAAACAACAACAATTTCACAGCAGGAACATCTACACAGCCACCTGTCACTACACATCGATATTGTCACTTGATCCCGCGTCTTTGGACTTGAGCAATGACGTCATAATGGCAGCTTGTTGACCTTGACTGTCACTCGGTCGTCTGTTGGAGATAGGAGAGGTCCTCTCAATGTCAAGATCGTTGCCCTCCGAGTTCAGGACCCGGTTCTCTTTACTCTCCATGTCCTGGAGGTAGGAATACTTGACGTGCGTGGAGTTTTTCCGCTGGCAGCCCGAGCTGTGATCGCTGTAGCTTCTACACAGTTTTTGCTGAGCGGGGTACGGGGCCGCCTCCTCCTCTGCCTCCTGGTCGCCGGGAGGTTTGGCGAGCTCTGAAGACTTGGCACGTCTCAGTAGCGTGATAGGCCTGCGTTCTGGGCTGAGCCGGTTCGAAAGACCACCGTCGGGGTCACCGTTTTCAAGTTGTCCGGCGTTGTGAAGAACGCTTTTTTCAGAAGCCCCACGGAAGTTTGTAGTGTCCTCCAGAGAGTCCACGGAAATGAGGTCCGTCTCTCGTAGATGTGGGAGGCTGGTCGCTACCAGGCCAAGATCGAGAGAGCGCGTGTCAGGGTCTTCCTCTTTTTCTTCTTCCCCGCTACTGTCTACTTTAAAACTCTCAAAAGCTTTCTCCAGCTCGTTCTCCATACTGTCTGCGAGACTCACGGAGCTGGGGATGCGGAAAAACTCGGCGCTGGTCATGCTGCTCTTCCGAGATTTGTCCTTCTCCACCCCATCTGTCACATCCACGACGGCCGTGGCGTCTGCATTCTCCTCCTTGATCACCCCCACACGCTTACCACCTCCCTCACCCCCACCACCCCGCTTCTTTTTATCTTCAAGCGTATTGTGCGCGATATACCCCGTGTTCACAAAGCCATCCCTCACGCGAAACGTGTTCATATTGTGAACATTTTGGGGAGAAGTAGAATTCTTCTCAGCGTCTGCTACGTTGTTGTAGGAAGAATCCACAAGCCTGTTGATGTCGTTCTCAGTCTGAAACCGAACGTAACCGTCCTCGATGATCAACAGAGAACTGGGTCTAGATCCCAGGTTAGGCGTAGGTTGCTCTACGATGGGCACGGAATCAGAAGCGAGGTCTGAACGCGCGAAAAGTTTGCGGGTACTCCCGTTGTTGAAGCTCCCGCGGCTGTCGAGGCGGAGCGAGTGGAACTTGGAGGCGGAAGTGCCGTCCACGTCAGTCCAGCCCGTGGAGGAAGTGGAGGGTCGGTTGATGGTGTGGCCACAACATAGGATCTCTGTACACGGCGCGCAGAACGCACTGCAGCCACAGCTGCCCTCACGCTTACGATACCTGAAAGGGGGGGGGGGGGGCAGGAGAAAGGTATAGAGGTGATGTTGTTGTTACAACAGTATTGTTGCTGCTGCTGTTGTTGCTGTTGATGATGATGATGATGATGATGATGATGATGATGATGATGATGATGATGATGATACTTGTTGTTGTTGTTGTTGTTATTGTTGTTGTTGTTGTTGTTGTTGTTGCTGATGATGATCATCATCATTACTATTCACTATTACTTTTATCATCATTATCATAACCATTATTCACTATTGCTATTATAATTATCATTCTCATTATTATTATTTACTACTATCATCATCATCATCATCATCATCATCATCATCATCATCATCATCATCATCATCATCATCATCATCATATATGTTTGAATATTCAGGAAAAATGGCAGCTCGAACGGAGTTATTAGGACAAGTGAAGGTGCCTCTGAGTATAATGACAGTGGAGCTGTAAAAGAGCCTCGTCTTGCTCGAAGATTTCTTCGTGGATTCCACAAGTGAAGAACGCCATGCACCAGCCCCATTACGGAGC